GGGATTCCAGGTGCTTGGACTTGACACCCAGCCTGAAAACCAGTGAGAAACCTTGATGTGGTAACACAAAGGTGGGCCTTCAGAGGGGCCCTGAGCCCTGGTTTGCTGGGTCTCCTGCCCCTACCACTCCCAAGGCTCCCTGCCTCAGCCAGGACCACATCTGGGCAATCAGCACTTAGCAGGATGCTGGCACCTCGGTGGATGAAGACAGAAACCTGGGCTGAATCATGAGCCAAATCGTAGCTGACCCAGCCTGGCCAGGACTAAGGAACCAGGCTAAGAGGGACTCCTCTGCCCACAGCCTTTCAGCTCTGAGCTCTCTGGGGAGCTGCAGACTAAACTCACCGAACCACCCCCGGCTGGCGGCCTCCAGGCCTCTCCAGCATCCTTGGGGAGTAACGCAGTCCAACTCATAGGAACCCTTCGTGCAGAGATGTGGGCCCACTGACCATCTCTGAGGGGATAAAAGCAGGACCAATGGGGAAGATGCCCTGAAACCACAGCCCCTGGCCACATACCAGGTCCCAGGAAAACCTTGGGCAGGTTACATGTGGGCACAGCTTGGTGGGGCTAACTGGCTGAGATGGTCCCAACACCACCTGCTCAGAGATGTTGGGCTCTGACCTGTGAGCTGAACAAAACAGCCTGGCCTTTCAAAAAGGGGAGAGGTCGGCTCTGGGAGGGACAAAGAGTGGGAAAGAAGATGAGCAAGAACAATGCAGGGGGCTCCCCAGCCTGCAGTAGCTTGAAGGTCCCTGCAGTTGTTGCCCTGTTCTGCCCATCCAGCCCTCTCCCCTTCCCCTGCTGGTGCTACCTGCCACACACACACACATATGTGCACGCATGCCAAGGAAAGAGGAGGCTTCCCAGCAGAACCTTCAAACCCTGCCTATCCTTGGACATGCAGTACAAAAGCCGCCAGCTCTTCCCCTCTCCACCACTCCAGGCAGCTTGCTGGCTCCTGCCCTACAGAGGCCAATGTCATGCCTCTGGCCATTCTTGGTGAGGCCTGGTGTGATTTTCTGTGTCTTTCTGGTTCCCTCTCCACCTAAACCGTGATTTCCATGACCCCAGGAGCATCTGATACCTAATCAGGGTTCAAGCAGCATTCATTGACTGACTCCACAAGGAGAAATCATCCATGTTCTCACACTATCAAGGGACTAAAAGGTGGAGGAGCAGAGACACACAGTAGCAGGTCTGTGATGAGGCCACATGTCAGGTTTGGGCTGCCCTACCCTGGCTCCAAACCCACAGGCAGTACCAGGTCTTGGCGTGACAAGTCCTCAAGCCATGTTTCTGGTTTGTGGTCACTGGCCAGGAGCCCAGCCTCAGGCCTTCCTGGAGAAGATGGAAGGAGAGGCCCAAACCCCAGCCACAAACCCCAAGCTACAGGACACCCATTTGGTTTACCCTCCTCACATTCAGAACTGCCCACAGGGGAGAGGTCATAGAGTCAGAGCCTCCTCCCACCCACTGAGCACAGCCTTGGCAGCCCCTCCTCAAGCGTCAGACCTCAGAAAATGAGTTTTCTCCTTCTCCTTTGACAAGGCTGGTGACCACAGATCCTGCAGGAGTCTACTAGCTTCTTACGCCTACAAGGCCATCTCCAGGGACCAACAGCCCCTCAGGGTCTGACCATTCCTCAAAACTGGAAAATCTGGTTTGCAAAGTGCTCCAGGCTGCCTCACACCTGTCTTAGGACAGCCTAAGTGGCAGCCAGAACAGTCCCACCTGCCTGACTCTGGCCAGCTGGCCTTCACAGCCCTGCTGCCCCAGCACCCCCACCCCATCTTAACTTCAGGCTTGACTTCAATCACATCGCCAACCAGGGGGCACCTGTTCTCAGCACACCCACATGGTGCAGGTTTTGGAGAGGAAGCAGCTGCAACAGGTCCTGGAGTAAAGCAGGGCTGGGGAAGATGCCTGGGTGGTGTAGGAAGGCCCAAAGAATGCCCTCAGCTATTTAACGGGATGGCCTGAAGACATTCTGGGCTGTCTCTCTCTCAGAGGAAATTCATACTTTGAAGTCACTATATGTGAACTATAACCAGCTGACAATGGTTTTGGGCATTTTAACATTCATCTCTTCACACTGGGTACCCAGGAAGTAGGGAAAAAGTAGGCAAGGGATTCCACACAGATCTACCAGGGAAAGGACATTGAATGAGCCAGTTGACTTAAGGATCAGAAATCAAGAACAACACAACTCCCATACACTCCTAGCCAATCTTGGCTCCCTCTGAGATGGGTTTATATCCTATATTTTATCTCAAAGTATATTGGGTAAAGGCCATAGAAACTGGTTCCTCAAAATAGTTAACATTTACTGAGCACTTGCTGTTAGATGCTATGCAAAAGTCACCACATACATTATTTGGTTTAAACCTCCACTCAAATATATTAGGCAGGAGTGACTATTATCCCCATTTCCCCCTCGGCATCATCAGGCACACAGCAGGGATTCACCCGCTATCATGCAGCTAGTCATGGGATTTGAACCCACTGCGCCCAGAGCACATCTATCTGCAGTCTGGAGGCAGGATGCAGCCCCAGGGTGGGGTGGTTTGACTGGAACATTAATCCATCTCCACCCACCAGCCTGGAGCTGAGAGCCATTTATCCAGTTATTCAGCGTTATTTCTTAACCACCTATTACAGGCCTGACCCCATGCGAGGCACTAGAGACTCAGCAGAGAACAGGACAGGCTGGGCCCCTGTCCCCATGGACACCAGCACAGAGTAAAGCAGACAGGAGTGTAGAGCCGTGAGGGTTGTGAGGATGGAGGCTAGAGTCGATTCTCTCCTCTTGCAGGCCTTACTTCCACCAGGCATTTAGATGTCCTCACCTTCAGGGCAGGCAGATATCCTGTCCCTCTTCAGGTAAACCCATCCACAGCAGGACTCCCCTCTTTGCAGTCCTCCACCATGACTGGTGGCCCTGCGCAGCTCTTCTGAGGGTCTTGCAGTCCAGCAGCATGTATGAACGTAACAGCCTGTCTTCCTGCAACCTAGTTTGATGTGGGTGCAGACTCAGGACCTGGGCTTATTTACAACCACATTCATTCACCTGCCAGGGCTACCTCCTAATTTCAACATCCATTAGCTCAACAAATATTGATTAAGCTCCTACATGTAAAAACCCCAGGGCTGGCACCTGTGGGAAAACACATTAGAGCCTCCAGGATTTAAGAGCCATTTTACATATCTTCTCCAGCCAACCCAGGGAAAGCGGAGGTATTATAAATAAGGAATTGGAGGCCGAGGAGTTAATTAATTTATCCCAAGGTCACAAGCATGAAAGTGGATGGCCAGGATGCTCCTCAGAGTCTATGCTCTCTCCTGCTTGACACCGGCGCACGTGGTACACACACCTAAGGGCAGGGGCATTAAGCACACGAGGGAATAAACTACAACCATCCTGAAAAGATGGGCATTCACAGCTGCTGCCCCTAGAAAAGGTGGCTTTGGAGCTCAGCCCCAAAGGTCAGAAAGATTGTGAAAGCCAGTGAACTCCCCTAATCCACTGCATTTTGTGTCTGGAGGCAGGGAGTCCAGCCCAGTGAACTGCACTGAAGCCTTCTTTAAGAAGTGACAAGCCACAGCCAACTGATGCAGGATCTTGAGTCATGCCTCCTGCCTGCACAGACTTCTACAGGCACCTGCAGCAGGACTTACCACTCACCAAGGGTCTTGCTCCCAGGTCATTAATCTGCTCCCTGGAAGAGCCCAGGCATGACCAGAGGGCAGAATGTTGCCCATTTACAGAGGTGGGAAGGGAAAGAAAGCACCACAAGACCTGGGACCTCGTCTGTATCACCCACTCTCTATCCTCAGCATCTGGCACAGAGAAGGTACTCAAAAAGTATTTGCTGGAGTATTTGCTGGATAATCTAATAAAGCTCAGAGAAGTGAAATGACTTGCCCAAAGTCTCACAAGTTGTCATGGTTGCACCGGACTAAAAACAGGGGCTTCTGCCTCCCCTAGTGGCCTTTGTATCCTGCTGCGCTGCGTCCTCCTCCTCCCACGTACTCACTCACCTGCCTCCATCTGGAGTCGTGGGCCTCAGTCCACCTGTCCGCTCTGGTCCCACTCAACTCCCACCTACCACAGTGCAGGAGGAAGGTGTCAAAAGCAATAAGTTACTTTAGGTTTGATCCCCCACATCTAATACCACTGCTTTATCATCTTACCTCACCCCCTTCTGTAAACGAGGCACAATTTGCAGACAAGGGAACCGAGGCCAATGCAGGGTAACATAGAGAATTATTGGCAGAAAAAACAACCTTGGGTTTTCCAAGTCAGGAGAGCTTTTGCTGTGCCACCACTTCCACCAACCCCACAGCAGGTGTTGGCTCCCTTTGGCCCAGAGACCCTTGCAGACTCTGGATGCCAGGCGCAGCCTTCCTCTCTCCCTTACCAACGAGGAACGAGTGAGGGGAAGCGACCTGCCCAGAACACGGCTGCATCCCAGCCCCATCATGCACCAGTTGGGGCTCTGGGCTGATTACTTCCCCCTCAGCCCCTCACTTCCTCATCCTTATGTGTGCCTGGCTCACAAAGCTGTTAGGAGTAATAACTGAAACAACACATGTGATGAGATGAGAACAGTGCACACATCAGCCAATGCCAGGAACTGTTGAGTTTGCCACCAATAACCAAATTTCCCAGAAGACCCTGTTCCCACCTGGCTGCCCAGAAGCCTGGTGCACACCCACCACCACCCTGATCAGAGTTTTTCATATATATATGTATGTATATATCTGTGTGTATATGTATGTATATGGGGAGGGGAGGAGGCAGGCACTTATGTTTCTCCCCAAATACATTTGATGTATTCACTTAATAATACTGAATACTATGTGCAGGTCCAGTGCTCAGTGCTGGGAGATCAGTGTTTCTGTGGCCCCAACCCCACGTAGTCCCACAGTCCCCACAATGGCCTAATTCTTAAATCTTGGGCAGTCTCGTCACTTCTGTCCCAACAAGGCACCCAGTAGATACTCAGTAAATAGGGATTTCTTCTCTTCTCCCCATTAAATATCCCAAGACATCCACCACCCTAATTCAACCCCTCCCATCCAATTTAAAATCTATTCTCAAGGTTTCAGACTGAAATTTTAAAAAAGGGACCCCTGCCTGGCCCCCACAGGAATCTCCAAAGTACCCACTCCTTTCTCACCCCTTTTCTCCACCAACAGTCCAGTTGTCCCAGGAAATAAGCTCTGTGAATGGGGGGCTGTCACAGCCTCCCCTGCTCTCCCTGAGGGGCCCACAGGAACGGAGAGGAGTGTTTAAGCCACTGCCACACTGCAAAGAAGTTGGCTCAAGGGGGGTGGTGACAGGGGCCACAACCTTCCAATGTCCCCCTGCAGGGCTGTGCCAGCAGAAGCCAAGGCATGGGTGTCAGGTCGCTGGGCTCTGAGGAAGCCCTTTGTGCAGTGTGTTTTAAATTACCTCTGCTTGTCTGATGAAGTGACTAAAAGGGCGCCGATTCAGGGCTTAGGATTCCTGAGTGAGCTAATACAGGATGCCTTTGGCTAAAAAAAAAAAAACTTCAGTCGGCTCCCTAAACTCCCCCCCTTTTAAGTTTAAAAAAGGGAATGAATGTTACCATTTTTGGACATGAGCGTTCTCGCTCAAGCCCAGCCCTAACCGCACTATCCAGAGGGACGCGCCATCCTGTCCCCCCCATTCCTAGATCAGCGGGGGTGGGGGGTAATATGAAATGAGGGGGACCGGATGGAAGCGGGCAGCGGGAAAGGGGGGGGTGTTCAGGGTACGTGGCCGCCTGGGGCAAGACCTAACAGCGCTGGCAGGAAGCAGAGGCAGGGTTGGGGCTCCCTCCCCACCCCTCCCACAGGAGTGGTTTCTGACCTCTTCCTGCCACCGGCCACTGTGCCTGGGTCCCATGCTGCCCGGGGCCCGGCCCCGGTGGCAGAATGCGCACCCGGATCACGGCGCCTGGGGACGCGGCTTGGTGGCTAAGCAGAGATCCCCAAAGACTGACCCCCAAATATCCCCAGAGACAATTTCTCGCCGTGGAACCCCTCAACTCTGATCCAGTTACCCAAATTCTCCTTCTCCCAGGAATGAGCGGGGGTCGGAGGCGCAGGATAGACACCCCTTCGCAGCTACCAACCCACTGAGTTAAGTAATAAAACGGTTTGCAGTCCTGACCCCGCTACCACAGGGCCCACTGGGGAGCCAGCATATGCTCCCCAGTTTTCTCAGCCCCAACCCCACTCCAGCAGGTCCACCTCTAGGCAGACCGGCAGGCAGCTGCCAATCCCTCCGTCGCTGGCTTTCCCCTCGGTTTTCGGGCTGGCAGGCGCAGAGCCCACAAGCAGCCTGCCCCCTCCAGGTACTGAGCCCAGGGCAGCCCAGGAAGCGCACTGCCACTGCACGCCATATGGAGAGTCGGCCAGGGGGCGGGAAAGGGAAGGCAAAATCGATCCTGAGCAAACAGCTACGGAGCCAGGGACTCAGCCCCGGCCTCCCGAGCACCGCCCCCGCGCCCTGTCCGCACGGAAACGGTGCGGCTACAGCCGAGTGGCCTGGATCGCGGGCCCCAAGACAACCTGCCCACCGGCGGCCCCACCTCCTCGCGCTCCTTGCTCGGCGTTCGCGGGCTCCGGGGCAGCGGCTCTCCCCACTCCGACCCACGCCTGTAACCCAACACCCCACCTCCCAGCGGCCGCTCATCTCCCGCCCCCGCTCGTGCAAGCTTGGAACCCGTTCGGAGCCGGGAGCCCGCAGCTGAGACCACCGCGGGCGGAACAGGGGGCTGAGGCGGGCTGGAGAGGCTACCGACCTTTCTCTGCTGCTTCTCCCAGGCCGGGTCCAGGAGCAGGTCTCTATCCCAGTCCTCTTCGGGCTGCATGTAGTCGTTGGTTTGCTGGGAATCATAATGGTCCATGATGGTGCGCGCGTGCTAGGGGCTGGATTTCTTCCTCCACCTTCTCTGCGGGCGGCGGCGGCTGCTGCGGCTGCCCCGGCGTGGGGAGGGAGTCGGACCGGGCTGGGCTGGCGCGGCCGGGCTAGCTGCTCTAAGCCCTGTCCGCTGCGGCGCTGCTGGCGGCGGCTGGAGCTCACTCACTGCCTGTTCCGAGCCGGCGCTCAGACCTAATCTCCACGCACACTGAGCCGGGGGACACACTCGAGCTGCGGGAGCCGAGGCGGGCGGGGGCTGGGACGGGGGCGGGGGGAAGGGGCAGAGCCCTCCCGAGGTTCTCCATTGGCCAGGCCGAGTTGCCCAAACTTCCCCCCCATCGCCTCTCATTGGGAATTCCTGGCATCAGTCAGGCCGGCCGCGGCGCATATAGGTGGACTGGGCGGCCCCTCTCCTGGCGCGCACGCCCCCGCCCACTCCCTGGGTGCCCACTCCCCCGCGGCTCATGTGACATTAGCTTAAGCTGAAAGGGACCGAAGCCGGGGGACGCCTCCCCGAGCTCGGGAGCAGCGAGCTCGGGGGCCCCCAGAGCCTCCGGGGATTGGACACGCTCCCCGCCTGCGGGAAGGGCCGGAACTCCGGCGCGCGGGCGTTCGGCGCTCCCACGCGCCCTCCAAGCCCCAAGCTGCCAGGATCTGGAGAAGGGACGCCAGGAAACCCGAAAAGCATCTCATTTTCTCTTTCCCAGGGTCCGGAGAGGTTGGCGCCCAGAAAGGGGCGGGGAATGCCGGAATGGAAAGGAATTTCTTGGGAATTTCCTGACTCTGGCCCCACCCCCCGGCCCCGCCCGGCGCGACCCAGCGGACCCCTACTCTCAGAGAGTCCGGTTTCTTGCAAGCAATAGGCGCTCAGAGGCAAAAGAGCTTTCCCGCCTCACCGCAGGGTCCTTTCCGGCTCAGGGGACCGCTCCGGCTAGGGACTTACCCTGCCTGTCCCGCGCGCTGCTGAAGCTGGGGCTGCCCTCGTACACATTGGGCAGCATCCTGAAAACTGGAGGGGAGGGCCCTGAGCGATCTACCTGCCCCACACACACTTGACAAATGAGGAAACTGAGGCTCAAAGAGTTGACCCTGCAAAGGGATTTAGCAGGTTCCCGGGATGCCATAGGCTAACCCTGTAACCTAAAGCCTGATTGTTGTTGGGGGAAGGAGGGCAAGATTGACTCAACATCTCTAACTCATTAGTGCTGGCCTAAGCTTTCTTCTTGGGGCCTATAAGAGGAAGGTCTAATCAGCTGGTCCAGCAGTGACAGGTACTGAGAATTGCCTGCCTCCTGTCCTGGTAAGCTGCTCCAAGGGGTTCCAGGACTGAAGAACAGCAGCAAGTAGACCGCAAATAGGTTATGCACACAGTGGTGCTTAATTTATATTTGTGGGCCTGATCAACTGCAAAATTGTGGCCTAGTCAACTGCAAAAATGTCAGTATATCAGTTGAGAAGTGAAGGAGTTAAGAGAAAGAAATTCACTGACAGAAAGTGCCAGGAATTAGGATATATGAAAGGCCACAGATGGAAAAGGTAAAGAAAGTGCCTCTGACTCTCAGAAGAGCCAGCTGATGCTGTTGTAAGCAGATATGGGTGGTGGTGATGCTCCCTGCATCATTAGTCAGCCTCTCACGTCTGTCAGGTATTACGGATCAGCACTGTGCCTGCCATAGTTCCTGACTGAGGAAGCAGTGCCTCTGAGCCATAGAGACAGCAGATTTATGAAGCATTTTATAACTACTTCTAAACTATGGCTCTAAACCTAACATAGAGGGGAATGATTGTGCCGTATCCATTCACCCACTCAATAAATACTTGCTGAGCACAGTCTGTGTGTCAGGAGATGGGCTAGATGTTATGTATACAGAGATGAAAAAGACAATCCCTGCCCCCATGCAGCCCAGCAGAGGCAGACACAGAAACAAAAATTTACTGCATGAGATAGATGCAAGGAGATAGATCTTGCTTACTATCATGAGATAGATGCAAGAAACTATGGGGCACAGAGGAGGAGCTTTGAGCCCAGCATGGGAAAGGAGGCCCCAGGTATAACTGGAGGAGGTAAAATTCAAGTGAGCCTTAAAAAACAAGAGTCAGCCAGATGAAGAGAAGTGTGGGATGTTATTCCAGGCACAAGGAACAGTGTCAGTAATACACGGGGGAAGGAAACTACATGGTATAAAAGGAATGCCTTGCATTTCCACGTGGCTAGACTAGAAATTCAAGGCTAGGAGGGGCAAGAGATGAGGCTGGAGCAGTGGGGAGTAGCCAGGTCACAAGGGCCTTGTGTGCCTGTGGAGTGTGGATCTCAGGGGATCAAGGCCTGCTGGAAGCAGTCGGAACTAGTTGTAAAGCAGTTGCAATAATCCAGCTAGGAATGGTGTCTTAGTCCATTTGGGCTGCTATACCAATACTATAAACTGTGTGGCTTAAACAAGGACATTTATTGGTAATAGTTCTGGAGACTGGGATGTCCAAGATCAGATTAGGTGGTTAGGTGTCTGGTGAAAGCCCTCTTCCTGGTTCATAGATGACCACCTTCTGGCTATGTCCTCATGTGGTAGGAGGGGCAGGGACCTCTCTGGATTCTCTTTTTATAAGGCCATTGATCCCATGCATAAGGGCTCTGCCCTCATAACCTAATTACCCTTCTAATACCATCACATTGGAGTTTAGGGTTTCGACAAATGAATTTGGGAATACGTTAGTATTCAGTGTATGGCAGAACAAGAAGAGTGGATGGACAAGAAACATGAGATAAAACTGAGAAGCTTACCTCTATAGCTTTTCTTCTTCCTTCCTAATTACAACCCTTAAATAGAATTCGTGCCTCATATCGAAGT